CAACGAGATAAAATACGCACTATCATGTGAGTGAGTAATGTTATCCCCCACACACACACACACACACACACACACACCCCATTTCAAATACACACGTCACTCTGGAAATCATGGTCTAGAATGAAACTTCATATCGACCTTTACGCCTAATTTCCACATCCAACCAAAACTGAAACATGTTTGGATACAATGTACCATGAAGTGGTAATATACTACGAAGTCTCCTAAGGGTCCTTATTTTTTAACCAATGAAGTCGCCTTCTATCATGAAGTAGTAATTCTTATCCTATGAAGTGGTAATATACCATGAAGTATCTTAACACACGTTTTTAAGAATTATTTTTATAAATAAAATTGTTTTAAGTGTAGAAAATTAACGACAATATAAATTTGCCCTATTATTTAATGACTTTACTTGTTTTTATAGTTGAAGTTGTTTTTGTGTTAAACTTTTTATGTAATTTGAAGTGCACAATTTGATTTGATGCCTTAACTGTGGTTTTACAGCTTGTTTTTAATAATATAATATTTAAGTATTTTATCATTGTAAAGTGTAGAGTTTAAAGATAATTATTATTATTAATATTATTATTATTATTATTATTATTATTATTCAGCTGGTTGGTTAATAGAGTAAGAGATCACAACGGATTTAGCGAATTTGGATAAATTTATTTGATGCGACTTAACCGTTTTTTTTTTTTTTTTGGCATTATGGTAAAAATAGTTCCATATGGTTTTTAATTTTATTTACCAAACAAGGCGACAGACAAGTGCGCTTTTGACGTTTATTTGATTATTAATTTGTCTTTGAATTTTCAGTAGTGTGACATTGGTTGAATAAATCTATCTCGTTTAATCTTAGGTGGTGGTGTTCCTGTTCACTATTTTTTACAATACATTTTACTGTACAATTTTGACATTGTTATCTATATATATACCATTAAGGAGGTTAAGTTTATTTCGTCCACTTCAGGAATCCATAATGTTATATACATTTTTCCTAGTGGTCAGACACGCCACGTTGATGAGGTATTGCATTTTTCATATGCCTTATGTTGACTTAACTGATACGCGAGCTAAATCCAAAAAAACGTTTTTTGTTCTAAAATGTGCCTTATCTTTTGCTTTTCAGTTCTCTTCTCCCCATCCTCTCTCTCTCTCTCTCTCTCTCTCTCTCTCTCTCTCTCTCTCTCTCTCTCTCTTGCCCCACTTTCAGATTTTGTTACATGCCGGTTTTTATAAATTACCTATTGTAAACACGTCTCTGGAAACAATCCCATCTTTTAAACTTAATAAATATCAGTTGAAAACATCCCAAATGTACAAACCGATTGGTCTACAATACACATCACGGGTGACATTTGGCCCACAAATAGCACTATATATATAAAAAGAATCCACTTACAATAAAGGTGAAATAATTGTTATTCTAAAGAAAGTCCGATGGCTTTACTTTTTTTAAAATGCACACAATCAATATAATGTCTGAAAACAAATTAAATTAAATCAACCAGACGGTAAGCACCGAGAGGCTTTGCTAATTTCATCAACTTATTTCAAACAGCTCACTTTTTCGCGCATGCTCAGTGGTTTAAATCCTGTGCTCTCTTAACGAAGATGAGTAAGTGACCGATGTTGCTCAGTAGAAAGACATTAAGAGATAATAATTTGGCTCAACCTACTAATAGACTATGATAACATAATGATAAAACAATGAAGGAAATAAGTATAACAAAAAAGCGCTGCATTATTCGGAAGAAATTAAACAGTGCACTGCAGTGGCTGATTAAGGGGGTGTCAGGGGGGTCCTGCCCCCCCTCCCTTCGAAATAACACCAATGATCCCCTCTTGAAATTAGAATTTGACCAGCTGAATCTCAGTTCCAAACCGTACCATAAGGCACCGTTCGCCTTCTAAAACACATTTTTTTCGAGGTCCTTTAGCCGGAACCCGAACCCTACGCTGGGTGGGTGGGTGGGTGGGGGGGGGGGAATGAGGGGTATGGGGGTTTCAATACGCAACCTGACATTTCTGAAAACCGGTACGTAAGCCCCCCTTCAAATAAACCTGGTCCGCCAATGTATTGGTGGAACTGAGTAACTGTAGGTGCTATGTACACTGTGGCGAGTTTTTTTTTTTTTTTTTTTTTTTTTTTTTTCATTTACAATTACCATTTTAACCACTTTTCTTTAAAAACAATCTGTCCATTTCACGCCATTTAAATTATGAATCTAAAACAATATACCGATCTTCCGATTGAAGCAAGAACGATCAGCTCCTCAAATGTGTGGTGCCACTGTATCCTTTATTTTCAACGTCGAGCTAAAATACCTTTGTAGATACGTGAAAGACATTTTTTTTAATAGTGGTCATTGTCAAAACCCAGAGAATGTGCCCCTACAAAAATCTACTCATTACAGTGATCCACTGAGAATTGGATAAAGCATAGGACAGAAGGGTTTGATTAAGTTGGGGACTTTGGGGACATTCAAGCTGCAGAACAGAGGTCTGTATTTCCTCATATGTTTTCATACCACGGACATTCATGATATGATATTGATTTCCCTGTTTTGAGGTTTCATTGTTGTTTTTTGCACCAAATTCAAAATGAACGGCATATCCAAGCATCATTACTTCACGAACTGGGATACCCGTTACGTCTACTATTTTAAAATAACAATGCGCTAGATGAGAAATAAAAATAACGTGTCACAACCAAAACCCCAATGGCTGTCTACTTTTAAATACCTCTTATATTTTACCACCATGTTGCTTGACTTTGAAATCACCTTGAATTTTGACCGTATCACGTGAACAGGTGTACGTGATAACACAGCACATGTAAATGGCGGCTTGGAAGAATACCAACCACGAAGAGAAATTTATATAACTGGAGAAAAGAGAGGTACAGGTAAGTATCGTTATTAATGACGGATAATATACATCTAGTTGACGATTAATGCTGTTTGTATATTTCTAGGCGGTTGGGCTTAACTTATTGGTACTGAGTTTGACTTGAATGTTATTTTTTTTCCTTGATATTTGTGGTTTGTGCATCCATCATCACCTCATGTTAATGTTAATATTTCCTTATCCGTTTAGACAATACGGAGATAAACGTCCTAATCTGAGATAGTTGCTGTTTAGATGCGTTTCAGATGAGATGCATGGGCCTGCAGATCTGTTTGATAGCCATATTTCAGTTTTGACCCAATACACGCTGCGGTTACGTTTTCAGCTGACATGCGTTAATTCGAACACATCAC